GCTTTCTAGTCAAGCATCTATGTCTCCTCGCAGTGCTCAACGTAAGCGAGGATTCCCATTCCACTCCGGAGGCGCCACTTCAGCCATGCGAGCCAGCTTTCGGAAAGGAACTCAACTTCTGGGAAGTGCAGAGGACGCAGGCTAGCAGGCCCAAAATAGTACTTCCATGAGCGTGAGCCCTCAGCGTTTTTCTCAGCTCCTAAAACATGTAGGCTATCTAGTCGCTGGATCGTGGATGTCTCCCTCCCTGGTACCATAGGTAAACAGATATCTATGCCGAACGGAAAATGCCATGTCCTCGCAGTCAGACCAGAGCCTGACTGGCTAATCATTTGCATTCCGATCAATGATGGATACGCATTGCGCTAGCCCTTCATTAGAACCGCAGAGGCAATTGAATGTCCCTAGGCAGATATTCAATATTGCGCATGATGCCCATTCAGGACTCACTGATCTTCCAGATGACCTCCATACCTGGGACGTGAAATCGTGTTTTGGAGGGACACAACCAAGTTTAAAGACACACTGCACTGTTAGCCGTATGGACGGAACCCTTCGTGAGTGACGTAAACTAGCCCACGGCTCAAAGATGAAAAATAAGGGTCCTAAGGCCTACTGTAGTCCAAGTGGCCCCACTCCTACATAAGTGACTCCGCCCCCAAATTGGTGTGATGGGCGCTGTATTGGTGAGCTTGCCTCTTATCGTCTGTACCTGCTTCTCTCTGCACTAGCAAGTCATCTGGCACTCATATGTCCATACTTGGACCCCGGTACCCATGACCTAGAATCGCAGTCCATACTTGGCGGTAGCCATGACCTAGAATCGCTGAATGGGTTTTTCGAAGGTAAAAGGGTTCTGAAGAGAGGAACCTACCTGTGACCACATCAGGTTAGACTATGCCCCATAAACCAAGTAAAACAAGAAAAGCCAAAAGTATCGATTGAATTTATTGATTGAATAGATTTGAACGCTGAAGTGAAAAAGGACGATAACACATCAAAGTTAGGGATATAATAGATCAATTTACAAACGTATCTCAATGAATCGAAGAAAATCAATAACTATTCTTTACATTATGACTATGGAGATAAAGTTGCGTGGTAAAATGAGAGTAAATGCTTATAATACATATATTACACAGGTGAAAAGCAAAATAATATTTTAGTGGGCATGGGCATTTCCAGTGACCAACGCGATGAGACCGTCTTTGTAAGAACCAGAGCAATCGCCTTTGATCATATTTTCCAATGTCATTTTGTACATGGCCTAAAAATGAAGAAGTTCTCTCAAAATATATTGAGTGGGTCGTTATCGACTCGTGTAAATCGATGTATCGATTGATTTCAACTGCAAAAGAGTAACTGACCTGGAAAGCTGATCGGATGTCAACCATATCGTACTCACATCGAGTAACAACCAGTCGAATCAGGTCGCTGTCCCTAGTGCCAAGGCCCTGAAGTGAAAGAATAAGCCGATTCAAAAATACAGCTATAAAAGAGAAAATAAGATGTGGTAGCAAGTTCACTAAGGGGGGGGGGGTGGCTGCAGGGCCGAGATAACTGTAGTCAGGGCCGTCTTGCCATTGCGGGAAATCTTTGCAAAATCTACCCCTCCACCTCAAATACTCCTATGGTAAGACTCCCTCTTCCCCTCCGCCATTCTGTGGAATTCCCCCACCCTCCTCTCTTCCCACCATTTTTCTCTTTTTTTTCTTCGAAAACAGTTCATCTTTACTCACACGTTGAGCGGGGAGGGAGGGGGTCAAGGTGAACAAGGAAAGAGGACAGGGAAACAGGAAAACCTAGAAAAATCAACTACTGAGAAATTCCTTCGCAAAGGAAAACGCTTACCACGACCCCTCCCCCCCCCCCCCTCCGCGGCCCCTCCACTGACCGATCCCTCCTCCATTGACCGAATACGATCCCCCTCGCTGGGGCCTCGCCAACGGTGCGACGTGTCCTGATGCGTAGTGCCAGTTACCTTTTATTCAAAGGAAAGAGGAGGGAGGAAATTTTTTTCTCTCCCCGAGTTCGTGCAAGCCCCCCCCCCCTTTCCCCGGCCCCTCCATCCGACGATCCCTCCTCCATTGACCGAATACGATCCCCTCGCTGGGAATCCCCAACGTGCGACGTGCCCTGATTGTAGTGCCAGTTGCCTTTTGTTCAAAGGAAAGAGAGGGCGAGGAAATATTTATTCTACTCGCCGAGTTCGTGCGTCCAGTGCCCCTCTTCCTCTCCGCGCCGCTCCAACCGATCCAATCGCTCCTCGCATGACCGAATACGATCCCCTCGCTGGGAATCCCCAACGTGCGACGTGCCCTGATTGTAGTGCCAGTTACCATTTGTTCAAAGGAAAGAAGGAGGGGAGGAAATTAATTTAACCTCCCGGAGTTCCTCAGTACTGCTAGTTTTATAGGTTCTACACCCCTACATCCTCCCCTCAGCCGACCAGCGCCATGACGTAATAGAGAGGAAAGAGGCGCTGCCCTCTCGCCTCTACGATTTGAGGACACACAATCCAAGCGCTGTTTGGCTTGGAGGAGGCATTTTGCACTTTCGCTAGTTCCTGTAGGTTTACATGTTATTCGCTAGTTCCTGTAGGTTGTACATGTTAAGTAACTGGTTACCACGTGTCACCCTTGGAAAATCGCGAAGCGTACAAGTGAGCCAAACTAATTACTGATATTTACAAGTTTCTTAAAGGTGGCTTGTACAAGCCTCGCGAAGTATAATTTAGCGACCACTAGTTGCCCCCCCCCCCCACCACCAAGCCAAACCGCGCCACTTTTCAATCCAGTTGGGGCGTTCGGGAGCAAAGAACCATAGAACTGAGCCTCATTCAGCCCTTTACATAATTCCACAAGCCGGATGTGCATTCCAGTGCCTCTGCAATTCGCACTGAGATTCGCAAGTATGGCTTACCTTCATACTGTGATAGAGTAGCTTGGCAAAGTATGCCGGTCTGTTACGAGCGACGTCAATTATGGCAAGCAGACCATCTTTGACGTCACCGGAGAACTCGGCCTCGATGGCCTTCTCGATGGAATGCTTTGTCACCTGAAGTAAGTTCCGATATATCAGATATTCATGGTACGGTTTTGAAAATTACGGTAAGCTACACCAGGAATCAGCCGTACCTTCTGATATTCGTCGAAAATCAGTCGAAGTTGACTGAAGTTGTTCGTAGCGAGAATTGCGTTGAAACAGCTCTCATCCGTTCCCAGGCGACGTTCACCAGCGCTGTACAGTTTTCTGGCATCCTTCAAAAAATACGTATTTTGTGCAAAAATTACGGTAGCGAAGAAGAATCAGTGGAAACAGCTCACAAACCTGGTTTGCTCTCAATGGATCGGTACGGTTGGATTCATCTCTGCCACCAGCACACAACGAGACAAGCAGGCGCTGAAATGGAGCACCGTAATTTTGAAAATGTTAAAGCATTTTTACAGTGCGACACATTCCTTTTAGGGACGCTTATGATCCAAAAACCCTCCTGTGGTGGATTAGAGACGCACTTCACGATGATCATAAGGGCGGAGTCAGTCAACAATACGTGTTTCCCTCACAAGTGTAAACCGCTTTCCAGCAGGGCAAAGAGGAGAGATGTGAAGGGCACAGCAGTTGACTGTCCCTTACCACTTCTTCACCCGTACGATCGTGGACTCTGCGTTTACACCCTAGCTGCAAGAACACTCATTACCTGGAAAGATCCGCTGGTATCACCGATAAGATCCTTCTCGAGCGGAGTACGGTAGAGCTGCTGGTAGACGTTGCGGATTTCGGCGATCTGGGCATTAGTTCGAGATGTCATTATCTCTATCAGGACTGATTCTTTCGTGCCGAGACCCTAAAGAACGCAATTTGGAATTGCTCTCAAATTAGAAGAGGAAATGGATCTAAGGAGAAAGGAAAGGCGAATAAGAGAGAGGGAAGCCCACAAAAAGAAGTGAAGGAATAGTCTAGCGTGACTCCGAAGCTGCCCTGTATCATTATGTATCTTTCTACAGTCTCTCTGCTGCCGGAAACCCTTGCGACCTCCCTATCGGCGTCATACAACCCTCAAAATCCCTCCTTCCGGTGCTATCATCTCCCTACAACCATCTCGCGAGATGTTCACTACCGCAAAAAATTTTCTCATTGAATT